ATTTATTTGGACATTTACATTAAGGTGCAAGGCACACAAGCAGAACTAAAGCATGCAGGGAGCACTGCTACTTATTTACACTTGTTTCCCCTGAATTTTGGATAATTAAAAGGCTCCGTGGTTTATCTGTGTTTTAGCTAATTGGCCACACAGTTTACAGTGAATTTCATTAGCAAAAGAAACCACTTCAGTTGGGGTGGCGGGGTGGGCCATGAGGGGCTTGGAGGAAGGTGGTGATTAAGAGAGGGAGCTTATTTGCAGCGAGGGGGGTGGGGTACTTTTGCTTTAAACATTATACGGAGCTACTCAGCGTGTTGCCACCAGCATGTTTTAACCCAGTTTTATTTTACACAAACATACAGAAATAAACATGATGATTCTCTAATTAATCTGACTTACATACTGAAACACATAAAGGTGTAATGAACTGTGTTAACTTTTCCAAACAACACTTACACTGTCTAGAAAAAAAAACGCAAAAAATACACGCTAACAAAAAACAAAACAAGGGAGGGGTATTTCAAGCTCACCCTCTATAACAGAACAACTGCTTCACTAAGAGGCATTTATTAACCTTAAGTGTGTGGTGCTGATGCAGGGGATTTCTGCACCTGTGCAAAAACCTAGCCTGAAGCCAACAGAGTGTCCAACTGTTGCTGTTTTGACAGGGGCCATCCATAAACACACTGAAGACTGAAGACTAAGAGAACAACAAAAAGGAGGTAGCTGTATAAATGCATCTGTCAGTTTGTATTAGAAGCTAGCCCCGGGACTGGAAAAAACAGTGTCTTGATTAGAGGACTAAACTGGTTTGAGAAACTCACACTATTATCTATGTGGGTCCAAATCCTAGGACTTCAGGCTCTCTAATCACCCAGAGGTGTCAATAACTACTGTAAATAAGTATTGCTGTTCAATCGTCACTTGTTCTTGTTGGGAAATTATCAAGAGAGGTGTGGATGTGGGAGGAATTCTACCAATTTGAATTATCTCATGATAGTTTGGCAAAATCCTTCCTACAGGGAAACAAATCCTTTTGATTTCCCTAAGACTCAGGAGTCCAGACTGATATCTAAACTCATCAGTATGACAATGCACTCCTCAAGACTCGACTATCTAAACTTTGGGGTAAAGTAAGACTATTTTCTTATTCAACTAATAACACAGCCATGTACAATAGCTTAAAGGCACACAGCTCTATTCACTTATCCTTGTGAAAGAATTCAAAAGACGTTTCACTGAGAAAACTCAGTCACTGTGTAAAAACGTGAACACGCAACAACACAGATATAAAATACACTAAAGATTCCCCATAGTATAATATAAATAGCAGATTTTTAATTTCTTAGTCAGAGGACCATGTTATTTTTTTGTATGAAGATGCAACAGTGATGTTCTGTGACTATTGCACTCTGGGAAGTAAAAGGTTAAACTAAATATCAGTAGTTTGTGTTAAGTCATTGAATACAGTACACAGAGATGTACTGGGCATGTCAAGGTATTCATCAGGGTCCACTCTGGTCTCTCATCCTCCCCACCAAACCACCTCTCTACATCAATATTCTAGCATGCACAATCTCATCCTATTCTGTTTTATCATATTCAGCAGCAAAGTGCAGCGTGCATGTGTGTGCACATCATGGCGATAGCCTCTCTGGTGAAATAGGGCTCTCTGGGGGCTTGTGTCTCAACTCTACAGCCTTTGTGAGCCCCCATTACTTCTGACAGATAGAGATCACAAAACTGCTGAACAAACACCCCATTCAGTAATTAGCATACATTACAGTAATGGAAAGAGAAAAATGTATCAGTAAAGCCAAATGAAGTGCTTCCACCAAGTTAGTTCTGGCTTCTTAGTCTTCGTTTTCCTCTTTGTCCTATGATTGAGATCTGGTGGCCATTTGAATGCACTGAAGTCAGTGTTAAGCTCAAGAAAGAAGTTGATTTGAGCTTTGTGTCATGTTACCCTGCTAGAAAGAAATGATGACATTGTGGTCATAAGGGGATGCCCATGGTCAGCAACGACACTCAGGTAGGTGGTGGCATATTAAGGAATGATACCTGACGCTTAAATTCTCCCTTAAACTAGAGTAACAGAGGCAGGAGTTTACCAAAGCCAACAGGACCCAAGAGACAGTCCAGCACAAAGTAACAGGATGTAGGATGTAAGCTGCAAGCTGGGACAGCATAAACTGAGAGGCACAACCATGTAGCTTGAATAGTGTGCAGGAACATCTGTGCTGCATATGGACTAGAAGTCCCAAAGTACTAGAGGGAGACACCACAGAAGGTGGTCAAGAACATGGGCTGAAGTCCCACGAGACTTCAAGTTCCAGACTGACAAGCAGTTGCTGGCCAACCAAGCAGACACAGTGATGGTTGATAAAAAGCAGAGGACTGCAGTTGTGATAGATGTAGCAATTCCAGCTGACAGCAACATCAGAAAGAAGGCGCAAGAGAAAATTGAGAAGTACCAGAGCTGAAGAAACAACTGGAGCAGATGTGGAAGGTAAAAACCAAAGCCATTTCAGAGGTAATAGGACTATTAAGAGCTTTATCCCTCAAAATAGATGAGCAGCTCCAGCAGTCCAGTCCAGGCACAACATCAGAGGTCTTTTACTGGGAACAGCTAAGATATTGTGCAGACCCCTAAAACTCCCAGGTCTATGATAGAGGACCATTATTTCTATGTTACTGTGATTATACAGTCTCGAGCGGGGTATCAAGTTGAAAAAGTCCATCTATTTACCTCTTTGTTTTACCTCTATTTTTTATCAAGTTGTCACTACACTTTTTAAAACCCTGCAGGGTTTTTTGCTAGTTAAAGATGAAAGACATACAGACTGGAACAGAAGCATATGTACTCACCTACACATCCAATGTAAATTACCTTCCCATTTTCTCTGCATCTCTCTCTAGCACACACACACACACACACAAACGGAGTCTGACTAATTCATCACAGTGCCCAGCCGTCAAGACAACAGAGCTTCACTTAACTTTTTCAGGGTTGCTCAAGCATCAAATGCACGACTTTTAGATGTTGTTGTTCTTCCATCTGTCATGCTTCAAGGAACCAACATCCTTTTCTTTAATCCCAGCATAAAGTTTAAAAAGGTATGTTTCCCTTGATTGTGCTATCTTATGTACAGCAAAGGAAATGTCAACCCCCAAAATACGGCCCTGTATTTCACACTGTCACTGTTCCAACACTCGGCATTAAAGTGCCCCCTAAGCTCATAGCAAACGCTGGTACTACAAACTTCAGTGATTCAAGCAGTCTCCACTTTCAATCTCTCCTTATGGTCCATATGCATGTGGATTCATTCCATCACAATGCTCATTTACACAAAACAGTCCAAGATCTGATATCTGAGGAGATTTAAAGTGGTAGCAAAATCTGAGAAAAGGGCTAAATTAACACAGACGCACACAGACACATACAGGCAAAGGTTTCCCTCTGTATCAGACCCCCGAAATCAATTCTCGGAATGAACAGTGCAAAACGTAATTTACTTCGACGTCCTGATAATATGTACTGTGCTACAATAAAACAACATATATATATTTTATAGATCCTAACATGTTAACACAAAAGAATGCATGAAATACTGAAAATCACATCCTTTTTTATTCTCCCAGTTATTCGGGAAGTAACTTTATAATCAACGATGAATACAACACTGCAAAATAAAATATAAAATATAACCATGTCATTGTTCCAACCTTTAGCAACGTAAGACACAAAATCAGTTTTACTGCAGTAAATCTGTATGAGCGTCATTCCTAGGACCACAGCATGGTCAGGTAGGATGGGTAGGGGTGGGTGGGTGTGTGGGGTAGGGGTGATATTTCAGGTCATGGCCAGCCAGTTTCTCTTTGCCATTCTCTGGGGAGGAACTCCAGACAGTGAAAAGGAACCATACTGCAGTACATCTACACTTCTCCATTTCCTCTCACTCAAGCCTCTAGTTCTCAACGGAGCCTGGGAATCAATACTGACATTGGGGGAAAGAGCAGCTTTCTTGCCTGCCTGCTCTGCTTCATATAGTAGCTGCTGCCAGGGAAGCCTCTGCATCAGTTTTTTCTTTTTTTAAATGTAAATGTCCATCTCTGGTTTGAAGAGATTTTTAGGGACTATTGCTCTCGTCCCTCCAATTGTGTTGATTTAGCCTAAATAGATATCGGATAAAAGGAAGTAAAGATAATGTTATATGTTAACTTTTGTGTGAGCCCCTAGCATATGGAAACACCCACTCATGTTTTAAATTACTCGAGAGTAATCCTTTCTTTTCTTTATAACATTAGAGACAAACATAGGCTATCCTGCTGACTGCTTCACTGTGTTTTTCCCCATGAAAGGCACCTTAGCCTTAGGGTATTGACAACAGACTTGATTTTCACTATTGATCAAAGCTATACAGTGAGAACCTTTCCTCTCAGAAAGGGCATTCAAGAAAGTGCAGAGACATGGCTAATTCAATTTGGGACTAGAGATGCTTGGGTGTAAGTGAAACACTCTGTTATCAAAACAGGAGAGGTGTCATGAGAAAAGAGTTCGTGGATGGCTGTGTGGAGAGGTTTGTGGTCGGCCAAAAGATGAAATCAGGAATAAGCGATAAGTTGGTGTGAGGGGCCAGAGTCCCTATTAGAGGTCCCCGGGGGACAGGCAGCAGTGGCAGAGTGAAGTAAAAATAGCCACAGGCATGATTTCACTCTTGGGACCCAGGGAGGACTGAAGAGGGAGATCTGATCAGCGTCTCACAGCAAGGCAGCCAGATCCATTCCCCAAGTTCCCTAGGGTGCCACCTATCACACCAAGTGACTTAAACTGCTTACCACAGCCAGGCTGAACACAAACAGCACACACCTTTGCCACTGCTCGCTACAAAATAGGACAAAGAATGTCCTAATATCGCTCAAAGCGAATGTTGTTAGGGAGCAAATTTACGTCCAAACCTGTGTATTGTCTTGGAATGAACACAATAAAAAAAGGATATAGACATCTTTTCCACAAACTTATCTTGTTCATCGGCTGTTTTGGGGAAGTTTTCGATGTCATTCTCAAGCCTCTGAATGTGCCGTTCCATGTTGGTCAAACTGCTTTTTAAGATCTCGGCGGACACTGTGGAAAAGTGAAAACACACACAATAAGCTGGTTAGTATCAACAGTTGAGCGGGCTCTTGCTCCATATAGGAGTAACCCATGATGAAAACAACACATCCCTGAAAACGTTAAACATTTAAACAAACATATCTAGCGCAGAGGGAGACCGATGTGACATACTGACTCCACATAATCCATCTGCGTATGGCCTAGAAAAGTGAGCACGAGTGGTAATATGTGTGCACATTGGGTGTGTGTGCCTGTCTGCAGTGGCTCATTAATCAGTCTGTAATCACTGCTTGCAGAGTTGCTGTGGAATCCACTATATTCAGATCAGGCCTTTCAAGTAGAGACTTCAAACAGCATGCAGTGTCTTAGGGGATCAAATGGGACAGGAGCATGGATGCAGTGGCATGTTTAGGTTCCTGTAAAGGGTTTAGTTTTATTGACACACAAATTCCAGTTTGCTCAAACTGAACATATGTCATGTTGGTTAAATGGTATTGCCCAGTTTGAGAAAGGAAAGAAAAATAGGCTGATCAGAAAGCCAGTAACTAACTTTCTTTAATATCAGAGGAATGAGGAGATGGTATAAAGAGCACATGACTAAAAGTATCTCTGTTTATTTGTTTTTATTTAAGCTGGCTTTGAGCTTCCTGTACACTGTAAGCCCCGGGCCTTTTGAGAACTAAAAGAGAAACAGTTGACAAAAATACTGTACTGTATTGAGAAGAAACATCTTTGTATAGGAGTAGTTAGAAGTGAAGCTGGTAGTGAACCTACGTGAAAGAGGGTTCGTGGGTCAGCTAAACATGGGTTTATTTTACTTTCTGAGGATATGTAAGTTGAAGCTACATTCATGAAGTCACTGACTGGACTTGCACAACAGGAAAGGACACGAGGTCACAAGAACCTCTGGGATTCTTCATCTTAAGAGTGTCAGCTTTCATTCCAGTCTAGCTTTGATTTTTCACAATGTTGACTAAACACAAGCAGATGAAACTACCTACTCGGCAGAGTAACATGTATCCTGCTGATTAACAGGTCTTGCCAGCTGATATCTTATGTGTTATTTGAATGGGCCATCCAGTTCTACTTTGCATGAACTCGTTATTATTTGTTTCAAGTACAGATTGAATACAACAACCCAGGACAACTTTTAATATCTGGCACCACTTTGACATCTGCTGAGTGTTTACATCCTTTTGTCTGTAACTGAAGAGAAAGCTGTGGCAGGTCTCACTGACATAGGGGTCAACCTTGTCTTGCTTTACATCAGTTCCACAGCTCGAGTTTGTCCTCTCTCATTTTCTGACAATAAAATTGGATAGCAATATTGTGGATCGCATGCACTTCCACTACACTGTCTGACACAAACACAAAGGGTATCTAAGCTGCATTTCCATTAGAACACACACCCATACACAGAAATTGCCTATTGTGATTGGTCTAGAAGCAATGCAGTGAGAGTGATGGGTGAGGTCACTGTCATTATTAGACTTTTCAGCTAGCTAGCTGGGTAGACTGGGAGACTCACAATCCCTCCTTCTCAATTCTGGTAGAACTGACTCCTGGGAATGACACTGAGAAGACCACACTATCACATAGTCTGTTTCTCGACTGATAGGGCCCCTGAGATCCACATGTGCTTGTCACTTTGATCTCAGACTTACTAATGGTGAAAAAGGAAAGCGAGCAGTGGACAGATGAAGCAAGAGGCAAAACAATTAAATTCACATCAAGCCACTGGGAATGCGTTTGTCATTTGTTATGGCTTATGATCGTTTTTTTTTTGTGGATTGAGTGACAGTACTGACTAATGGCTTGGCTGAAAAACTGATCATAGGAACCAAGCATAGTGTTTTTTATGAGATCAGAGAGGGGTCATAGGAATTCAAAACAGAAACGTTAACATGGGAAGTAAACCAGATGGGAAACAAGTGAAACCCAGCTACATAACAGATTACTTGCATACATGCATTTAGCATTAAATTTGTAGCTGTGGGCCACTTTATACTTTTCATAAATTTGTATATGTAAGTAGAAAATCCAGCATTGATTCTTATGGGATGTCATTAGCTACAGTGATACCTTCTGTACGCTGAATACATGTTCCAAGTGGATGAGTGGAGAAATAAAGAGGGCAGGTAGGTATATATCATACACACAGAAGCGAGGGATGAGTGATGTGTGGCGATGTAGGAAGAAAAGAGAAAGTAAAGAAAAGACAAAAGCCATTTTAAAGCGACGCTCTAAGCTGTATGAATTACAGAGTGAGGGGAAAACTGCGAACGACATCCTTAATTTATTGACATGAGCTCGGTAAAACTGGCCATTGCGGCATTAGTCATTCCTCAGAACAAAAGGCAGACAAAATGTATTTCATCGCGTTTTGCCTTGTTTCCCTCAAATAAACTGCCAGGGAAAAATACTGTGTAGCTCACGATACCAAATCAACCGCTATAATGCGAAGATGTCAACCTTCTATTCAGTCATCTGTTGAGGGGAGCAATTTTCATTTTGATTTATTGACAAATAATACCAATCATTCAACTAATTCTCTTGCAATGCTGCCAAAGGTTACAAAGGAAATAGAGATTTATTTTGAACATCGCTGCCAACGCAGCATAAAAGATCAAGTTTTAAATAATCTAAAGACTTATGAAAACAAAGACAAATGCAACATAAATCCTTAAGAGAAGGTCATTGATAAATACATTTATTCCTTTAGCAAAGTAAGTGTATGTTGGAGAGGATATGGCACAGGGAAAAGGGACACACAGAAAGGATGCACAGATACAGACTGCATAAAAGCATTTTTCAATTTTATATGTTGATTATGTTTAAAAATGATCTCTTAATTAAAATATATCTCAAAAACTAATGACAATCCAATCGTTCAGTGTGACATCACTAGCTGTGTCTGGGTCTAAACTCCGCTGCAGGTCCATATATCAAACATCACTATGGCATTACTGAGAGTTGAAAAACTGTCTAAAGTCTTTCATCTTTAATAAAATGATCAGCGTTCTGCTCTACCAGGTGTAACAACTGAGTTTAACATCCAGGCATCCATGAAAACGGAATTTGTGATATTTAACGGAGTTAGAAGTTAGCAGGGAGTTAGCTCGTTAGCTTCTATCTAAATACAATATAGCATGTCCTGACTGCGGGGCTTTGGAAACAAATTCAAACGTACAGCTCTGTTATCACTTCCAACATAAATGAAGACAGAAAACTAAACAGCAGTGACGTTTGTAGGGTTACTGAAGTTTGGTAAGCTGTAGCTAATGATATGCTACGTGACCGCTAGCGACACAGCTATGTTAGCATAATATAAACAAGCTAACTTTTTTTCCACTGGATAAAAGTTAACGTGAGTGTTCTCGGTGGTCAGGAACAAATGTAATCGCATGGCAGGATGCTGTAAAAGGACCAAACTTCAGCCAGGAGAACAACTGAGATAATCCATCCACAATACGAGGTTAGTCATTCATATACTGCTGCATGGGCTGGGCTGTAGTTACATCCTAAGGTTTTAAAAACTGAGCTTAAATAAATGATTAGCGGTAGTAAAAGCCGAGGGAGGTCAACAGTGCTCACTGACTGTTTTAGGACCTTTTTGAGATCAAATAGAAGAAAATACGTAACATTAAACATGTTAACAACACAAAAGCCATATTAAACGCAGACTACTTTAGGCCCGGAAGTAGGATTCGTCACGTCATCACTTAATAATCGGATAAGTATAAAACACTAAAAAGTCAAATGTTATATTGGATCAATTTAACTGAAATTCATGTTGCTGGGAGGAATGAAAGTTTAAAAAGAAATGGGTGCCTTTCTTTACAGTGACAGCCGAAGCTATTCTCATTTGAATCAACTTGTTTTTCCATTGCATTAATTCTCTGTGAATATTTGAAATCTGCAAGTCTAAGAGGTACAGTAGTGGCTATTATAATAGCACTTCATATGTGGAAAAAGATTCCAGCCTCTGGAGATTATAGGCGTTCAATTCTTCGAGAATCCAAAACAGTTTTAGGCATGCTTGCATTTTTACCCACGCAAAGCTCTCACCATTTCATTGACTATGCAACATGTAAAGACAGGATGACCTTCAGTAAACTCTTCACATGACCAGCTACACATAATATGTGCTGAAAGGTATATTCATCACATCAGAGTAAAATTGGTTATTGATCAGCGCAATACTACCAGTCAAGACAATGACTGATTGTGTGTGTTTCTAAGTAGGTGTTGTACACATTAGTGCTACTTCAAATACCTCTACTTTAACATGACAAAGAATTTTCCTTTATCTTTTTCTTTAGTCTCGGTGGCACCTGAAAGCGAATAAGAGATGAAGTGGGAGACAGACTACTGTACAGCAGAGGAAAGCTACAAGAGGATAAACACAACTGGATGTGTTTCCTTTTCAGGAGGAATCAAAGCAGCTCAGGTTGCAGTACTGAAAGTGATAGTGTTGCTGTGACAACATAGTCACATTGTTCTTTCTGATTACCTTGAATCATGTACTCCTAAAAACAGCAGGCAGGAGAAAGCCGCAAATGAGTAAATTTAATGGACAGCATAAAGTTGGAGCTCAGGATTACCTGTAAATATTAGGGTACAATTTGAAGCCATTGGAAATTATAATCTACCTTTGGTATGGTTTCCCGTTGTTTACTAGAACAAAAGATAGCTTCTTTAGTGATTATTCATGTGTGAACAATTAAAACACCAGTTTGTGGAATTATTTAGATGCATCGTATGGATAAACGATATTATTACTTTCACTCAGAGGGCAGGAAGTACCACAGTGTGCAAAAATAGTCACAGCTGTAATTTTCCATCAATCTTACACTAATTGTTTGCACATAAAAGGATGAAACCTTCTTGCTTTTGCTCTATTTCCTCTTTTAATTTGCATTTTCCTTAAAGCACTCATGCAGAAAAACTGTTACCATGATGAAGGATTTGTTTGCCTGATTGTAATTGATGACCCCCTGAAGAGTAAA